CAGCCGCCCTCCCGCACAGCAACGCCGCGCGCACCGTGCCGGAACGAAACCCCTCCGCCCCGGGAAACGGGGGTGCTGGGGGCAGCTCGAAATCCAGGGCTGGTTTTAAAGACTGGGTTGAGGCTTGAGACCCGCACACCATTCTAATTTAAACAGGAATTAGGGAATTGGTTTTTTTCTCCGGTGTTCTCGAGTTACGCCTTTAGAGTACAGGATTTTGTACGTGAAGACACTACTACTACACAGCACATACTGCAAGACACTGAATGCTATATACATACATACACCAACTGCGCCACATGATCGTATGCTGCCTGTAAAACTAGTTGCACACAAATAAACCTTAGATGTGTTTTTTAGTATTAGAATGTCCCATGATAAAATAACATTACCAGTCTTGTATTCTCCTTTTCACACTATACATGTTCTTGTAGGCACATACATATATACAGTGGCTATTTCCATAACCAGCTCTATGTTCCAAAACAGCCCTTCTGAATTAAGAGAGATTCTGGAAAGATCTGTTTGTTGCTGACTTTGACTCAAGTGTTTCTCAAGTGCCGCTGCAGATGCTGTCTGCAGTGCTAAGTCCATTAATTCGCCATGGCTTATCCAAAAAGGCAAAATGATAATAATGTGAATCCAGCTTCGCTGATGTACTTAAAAAACCCCAAACACAGTAGCAATTCATGTCCCTAGAGTCATTCCAAGGTCATTTCGGAAAGAAGTGTAAGCTGGGACTACAGCAGCAGGTTTACTGTTGTTTCAGGACAGGTTAAGGAAAACTTACAGAAGTTCACAATGAGGAAGGAGTTTCCAGTTCAAAAAATGAATTTTACTACACAGGAAATGAAGGGGTGAAGATAAAGCAATTAATCACAAGATACTACTTAAACCAATCCTTTCAATACACAGAGTACTTATCCCACTTGACATTCTGTTCGGAGGAAAAGCTAAATTAGATTCTGCCAATAATGATTCAGAGAAAACAGCCTTCCTGGTACCCTTCAAACTTCTGTCTTCACATACTCATGTAATTTCACAGAATTCTTCAACCGCCGCCAATAGTGAGCTGAAGTCCAACAATATATTGACACCTTTGAGATGATCATGTGAAATTATGTATAAAATATTATTTCTGGTATCTGTCCATCTTCTATTGATGTACCATTGTTGTTACCTGGTGAACTATAAAATACAAAGCATGTTTTGCTAGCAGTAGGAGATTCGTGGATCACCTTCTTCAAACCTTTTGTTCCATAGTGGGAATCAGGACCCTGAAAAACATCAGATGAGATCAGCAACTGAATTCAAGTGGGCAGCAAGACCCATAGAATGCTGAAGTTCAAACACTACTGACTTAGGTTATTTTAATAGTATAGAATTTCTATACCCAGATCATAAAGCTATATACAAAAATCATTGATAACAGAAGCACATGCTCTTATGTCTAAATAACTACAAAAAGTTTCTCTGACAGCAGAATTAAAGCACTTGAGTTTATTCAACTAGTAATTAAAAATATTTTCTAGTATTTCTCCCTGTCATATAGGTTGTCTATATGCTCACTTAGTCCCCTGCCTTGGCTTATTTTAGTGCATGACATTCTTTTCCAACTCAATCAACTTTGACTTCTGCATAGGGAATTATACCTAAAAGAATCTAAGAAGATTTTTGAGAAAGCGTTGAATAAATAATGTCAATAACATTAAGAGAAGACTTTCACTGAACAAATAATTCTGTTGTATATTTCAGCACTAGTATGTAAAAAATAGATTAAAAAAAGCTTTTAGTTTCCTTGACTCTAGCTAGTGGTTAGAATATCCTTGACAAAAGAAATCAAATTTTGATAGAGCTGCTAGATTAAATATTCTAGATAGCACTTCTGTCCACAGTGACTTCCATTAAGGCTCTACTGTCAAGCCAGAGAGTGGGAAGGCACAAAGGATCCAGTCATTAATTTTGTGCTGTGGCACAGGAGCAGTCTTAGAAGTTACTGTGGAGCTTAACGGCATCCTTCTTAGCACTAAACTTAAATTCAAGATCTATAAGACACTTTCCCATCAGAAGACAGATAGAACAGCTCTTGCATCGAAGTAACATTTTCTTCTGTACTGTTAGCATTCTTACTTTCAGTGTTGCGCAAGCTGTGTAACAAACCGTTGGCAGGATCTCTATAGGTTCTTTGAACATAACTCTGAATGTACTGGCTGTTCCATCACAACTAAATCCAGTATCGTTTTGTCCTAGTGTTTGATTCTTCTCATAATCAATTATCTGTACAAAAACATGAAAACAGTATTTCTAGGGTTACAAGCTTGAGAAAGATTCTTCCCATATGCATGTTAGAAGGTCGCAAGCAAACACTTGCCTACTCCACCCATTTTAATTGCAAGAATAGTGCAATCCCAGAACTGGCAAGTAGGCCTAGTTTCCTGGTTCCACTAGTGCTGACCCAGCAGCACACCGAATGGTGGCTTGTGAGTTTTATACAGGCTGCCCGACCTGTGAGCTAGATTCAACACTGCTCCAACCAGGTCATAGTCTTTGCTTGGGAGATAAAGAACAGTTCATAGACCTTCAGCTTCTGAGCTTCATATACTACATATAATTCTGTACTTAGATTTACTGCTCTTTGTACACCTATGCAGCCCACGTGAGGGAAGCACGTTCACTGCCTGTGGCTCATTTAGAAAACAAGTTTTTACAGATAATGGAAGCAATCAATGATACATTCTAAAAAGAAAACAATAACTTCCACTGGTATGCTTTATACAACTTATTTCTATTCTAGATTCAGGATAAAAAAGTTAGATGTGCACTACATATTATTTCTTTCGCCTTTAATTTTAGTGGTAAATAGGAATCACTAGCTAAGATGTAGTAATAGCATATACCTCGCTTCTCATCATGGGCAGTGATCCTGATCCATGCTGCCATACACCTCTTGCAGAAGTTGAATATTAGAGCTTTTGAGTACATGAACATTTATTATTACTGCACTAAGATGAATTCTCTAAGTTAATATTTATTATTAAATTGCCAAGTAATTTTTAATATGGCACAAATAAGATGAAACTGGCAAAATGTGCTCTAATTTTTCCCCAGCCACTACCAATAGCAGTTGTAAAGCTGAAGTTCTAAGACCCTTTCCCATAAAAGGTGTATTTGCACATAAGCCTATGCCAGTCTATGATACATAATAGCACTATTTCAACACAAGCATTAAATATTTAACTCTCTGAAGCTCTGCTAGTACTGATGCAGGTCCAAAAAGAAGAGGCATGGGATTTAAATACTTGTATAAAAACACTGTGAAAAGAAAGTTTCAGATTCATCAAGAATTGTGGATACAGAATAAAGAGAACTGATATAAGATGGCCTTCATCTGAACCATAAAGGCATATTAGCCTTCCAGTTTGCACCAGGAGCATGTTTTTCCAAGTGAATCTCTCGATCATTCCTACATAATATGCTTTGATTTGCCTTGCAAGAACAAAATTCTTTTGAGATTAAATAAATCCAGCAAACATGCTGAGGGAACACACCAAAACCACTCTCATCTCCTAACAGGAATTTAGCCGAGAGGATCAAACATGGGCTAATGCAAAACAAAAATCCTCAAATATGTACTGCATAGGTGCTAAGTCCTCAGTACCAACTCTTTTGTTCTAAAAACTCCATGTAGTGCACTATGCTACTCATTTACATAGATGTGTAGTTTGAGAAAACCAAACTGATGGCACTTCAAATCAAGGAATTTGCAAATGAGCTTTTAAACTGAGGAATGTGGAAGTCAACAAATTCCTTCAAAACCTCATTCCAGATACATTCTGGTTGGAACATCATAAGAGGAAAGGCAAGGCATTTATTTCTTAAGGGACACACAAAATTCCTATCCTCAAGTACAGAATGGTCAGAGAACAGTAATCATCAAATAGGAAACAGAAAACGAATAAACTGTTATTTAAGTAACATGCCCAGAAATGAACCAAAACAGCAGTTCCAGCACATGCTGCAAGTCTACAAAATAAGAGCGGGACAATGGAATTTCTGTTCCTAAATGAAGTCACAGATTGTCTCAATTTCCCACATATCTGACAAATCTACAGGATTGTATTGTACCAGGTTACAAAACATATAGCACTGAGTAAAACTGTACCAGTCACAAAACGCCAATACCATGTCTAAAAAGCTTAGAATCAAAACAAAAACTAGTCTCAATAAGGAAGATAATTCAAATGGACTGAAATGCCATACTTAAAAAGGAGAAAGTACAGTGCTGCACCAGTATTACTAGAAGACAGTCCTGACCACAACATGCTAACAGAGATCAAGCAGGGCACATGAGCAGGAAATACAATTTTAGTTGCGTCTTCAATTACCCGCTCAGACCAGGCAAGTGTCACATCAGGACATGAAGCCTGGGTGGTGACATTTTTAGATGCTAACACTGAACATTTCAAGAGCTCACTAACCAGTTGCTCAGTAGGAAGAGACACAACCCTTGATTTGGTACTGAGTGATGAGCAGGATCAGAATCAAAGTTTCCTAATGGAAACAGCATGTAAGAGTGTTCATAATGGTGTCCATTTCCTCAGCATCCACAACTGTTCTACCAGGGGTGCTACAGTGCAGGTCTTCCTTCCCTTTCTTCTGGAATCTTCTAATGGATCTGCTATTGATGAATGAACATGTGCAAATACCAGCAAATTCAAATGAGGGCATCTGCTTCTTGGGGCAGCATGTTTAGTACACTCCACATTGAAAAAATACTCTTATCCGGTTCGATCTTCTGCAAGTGTCAGTTACAGTCTCCGAGTTCTAATATTCTGGTGTTTGGTGAATAACAAACAGTTCTGCATTTACCTTACCCATTACCCTCATGATTATCACAAGTATTGGTCACACCTCCTCATAGCCTTCTCCCCTACAAACTAAAGAGTCTTAGGCTTTTTGGTCTCCCTTCATAAAGCAGCAGCTCTATGCCCTTAATCATTTTCATTATCCTTTTCTCTACCTTCTAATTCTACTGTGTGAGACTGGAAACTGTTGCAATGCTCAAGATGTGAGCAGACCTGACTTTCACACAGTAACACAGTGTCATCTTTTATCTTGTTTTCAGTATATTCCCGATAATACAGTGGGCTTTTTTTACAGTCACTAGATGTGTCAGTGATTTCAGAGAATTGTTGACAAATCCAAGATCTCTTTCCTGAATTACTAGAAAAATTATTAAAGGACAGACTGTGCACAACTGAATAGTTTACACAGCTGAGAAATTCCTCTGCAGAAAGCTTACAAGAATTCAAGGTTAGACTGCATGAGTATCCTGAAGAAAGATTCACCAGGAGCTATGAACAGAGAAACCAAATGGTCTCATTCAACACCTACACTGAAAATGACTGAAGGACAGGAGAGTACAGCAGAAAGGGAGAAGTTTCATATCGTTCATACTTCTTTTCTGAGTCATCTGCTTACGACCACTATGTTGGGGACAAAACAGCCTATCAATTGCTTCTACCCAAATAAAAACCAAATCTTTCGCAAGTGCTACAGAAGTGCAGTTTCTGCATAAGCCTATGTAAACAGAATATACTGTACCTGTATATTAACTTGATAGTCTGTGGGTCCATGGATAGATCCATATAATCCAAATCCCACTATGGAAATTCTTCTATTAACTGTGAACCTAGTAAGGCACAAGCCAAGAAGGGAATTTAAACAACTGTGATGGGTATATTACCTTATTCCCAGTCAAACAGGAAAAAGACTCCCACTGAAAAGCATGAAAGTAAGCTGAAAATTATGTTGGGGGTGGGGTTTTTTTTCATTAACGCTTTCTATTTAGACTTCAATAGTAAGGAAACTTTTTTTAAGGTATCAGCTTTATAAGTTAAAGCTTTGCTAATCACGCAAGATACTCAGTATGACTAACCAAAGAATAATCAGACTCTTTTGAGTATCTCTAAAATTACAACAGATCAAGACTTGGTATTTTCAGAAAAGAATATGCAGCTAACGTCCAATCATTCTAGAATTCACCTGATCCTCCTGAACTTTGCACACTTGTAGCAACTTGGTATTATATATGCACAACTCTCCAAGTTATTTTTTAAAAAGTGAAAGATCAAACACGCCCAAACAGAATCAGCATGTTACTGTAACTTATGCCAAAAAGTTGAGTAATATGTTCCCTTACTTCCCAGACTTCCGTGTCTCTTCTCCAAATAGTTTAAAAAGCCATACCTAATCCGATCACTTGTTCCACTGTAGCCCCAGCGACTCTCCACTTGCTGGAACCTGTTAATGCTGCATTCTTTTCCTCTAAGGCAACATCTTGGTCGGTCAATATAATCTACTTTAGGTTTAGGATTGACAGTAAAATGCAGGAAGAGATTTACTACTTCCCGATCTGACAAGATTCCAGACTGAGCAGGGCCTGTGAAAAGAAAAAACTTCCAAGATGATCAAAGAATTACTCCAACTGTTGTATTTAAACCACGCATTCGCAAACTGAATGTTTTGCTTTCATTTATGCATCATGACTTTCATTAGCATGATATTAATAACTTAGAGAGTGTTAAGCATCCAAACACTCACAGGTATACAGTGCAGAGATACGGTCTAACAGTAAAACCAGAAACCCCAAAACTCACCTGCTGCAAACTCTTCAATAGTCATTAATGGAAAACGGATTAAGGAAAGAGCTCTTCCAAGAACTTTTTGTTTGTTTCCAAATGTCACAGGCAGTTGTTGTCTTTGACATTCCGCTTCTGCCCAGCGAACAACAGCTCCAAAGAGTCTGCTTTCTCGAATACTAAGGGTATCTCTTTCTAGAACTGCACATAATGTGTCTAAAGAAAGAAAGTTAACAAATTTAGATGAAACCAGTAAGAGTGCTATACATTAAGTAAGATTAAAATGTTACATAAACACTAAAAACATTCATAAGGTAAAGATGATTTATGTATAAAAAATATCTCCCAATGGCGTATAGACTCCAAACTAAAAGAACAATTGTCCTGCTATGAAGACAGCACACAAACTTTCTTCTTGAGTCCTAAGAGTATGACTATACATCATCTATGTAGTGACAAGCAATACCCTAAAGAATTTCCATGGCTATGGCAAGATCAAAGCTTGGAAGTGACCAAGTGGTGAATGCACAGTACTAAAAAACCAAGTTACTCATGATGACATTGTCATATTCTCATCCAAATAGCCACCTGTCCATCTGGACAACACAAGCAGCGCTGCACACAAAACTAGTTTAAAGATATATGAAAGTGATCTTAAACACTTAAGTATCTGCCACCCACAAAGCTTGAAGATGGAGCACAGTGTGTGAGGCAAGGTACTCTCACATGTTTTTCAAAAGCAAGTTTTCCTATATTTCTTAACAGGTATGCAAAAAATCTCACAGAACACAAGCCTGGGAAAAAAAAAATCATGTTCTGAATCTTCCATCTTCTTTGGGAATTCTGACATGCCTTGAATTTAAGCAACGCATGTTTGCTGTCTTAGAAAATACAATATTGGAAAATCAAAACAGACTGTGACTTATAAAGAGTAGAGGTGAACACTCAGTCTGGGTACAAATCCCACTGAGCACAAGCTAACAATGACTTTACGATTTTTTTAAACAGCTGGAGTACCTTCCTTCAGTCTGAGTTTTTGACACAGTCTATCTAAATTGGAGTAAAAACTTAAAACACATATAACAGCAATGAAATTTAGAAAATTTACAACTGATAACTTTTCACAGAAAATGAAACATAGAATAAGCAGTTTACATACCTATTTTTTTAAACAGATTTTATAAATTGTACCTGAATCTGTTCAACTCTGAAGAGAGAAGTACCATTTGGCAACATAACAGTATGATTCCTGTTCCATGTAAAAAGCAGATGTGGATTCCTCAGCAACAAGGCACAACACTCAGCAATTAAGGCTTTGGCTTTAACAGAAGTGTTGTGTTAGCATGGTGGGAACCTTGGGACACGAATCAAAGGGAGACCCAATGCAATGGAACTCTGCTTGGGAACGAAGCTGAAAGGAAAGCACTGCAGGAGTGGATAATAAAACTTGCACCCATTAACATATCATACATATGCCACATCCCATTTTGCTCATTAGCAAATTCACTGATGTAATGCAGGTGCTGTTGTCTAAATTCTGAGATCTGCAGCTGGTTGTCGCATGGGTGTCCCTACAATGGTGGGTGTAGGTGAGGGAGAAAGAGAACTAACCCAGGTTACTGTGACAAGGATGTAAAATGTCCAAAATCAGATGGGAGAGGCAAACTATCAACAAAGTCTTCTCGTGCTCCACAATTCCCTTTAGCAGTTTAATGCTTAAGAGTACATGAAGTAACTTACCTATATCAATATCGGTAAAACCTTCTGCGCTTATTGCATCCATAGTACTTTTGTCTATTGTGTCAAGACAAAGACTTGCAAGCTGAGGTTCATCAAACAAACGAGCCTAAAAAGGTAAAAAAATACATCTTAAACACAGTTGGCAAAACATTAATCTTAGAAAGTATTTTTAGATCTAAATTAAAATAGGTTGATTTATCCAAGTACTCTTTGTGTTTATACCTTAAAGAGCACTTAAATTCTCAAAGGAGTACATAATTAAGGAAAATTTGCTAAATGCAAGTTTTCCTTTGTGCGTAGTTTTGGCAATATAACTAAAAGTACATATCAAATCCTTTATAGTGAAGTGAAGCACAGTCTTAACAAGAGATACAAGCAAATACACTGGAGAATAAACCAGCTCCATTTGAAATGTCCTAGTCCATTGCATATTAAAAAAAAATTTAAAAAATCTTTCCTCCACACTAGTAAGAAGCTGAGTCTATGAACATGCTAACAGAGCAACAAGACATTTTCATACACAGACTACATCACAGTAAACCCGCTGTGAAGTAATATTTAGTAATTTCCCTCCAAATACTGATTTTCCTAGTAAATCAAAACTAAGCTTAAATTTACCTACTTGAGTAAGCAGCATAAAGGCATTATCTGCTCGGAGATGCTTCGTTAGAAAATCCACACAATGTGCTTCTAGGGCTGGGACTGCATACTTTTTAGCAGTGTATAAAGTAGTCATGACTGTTTCTGGACCAATTTGAACTTCATCTGAATAAAGAAACCTAGAAATCAATACACAAACACAGATCATAAAAACATATCTTGAGGGGGGCAGTCAAGCACAACATAGTTCTCCTTGCATTTAGAAAACTGGTCAAATACTTGCACTGTGAACATCCAACAGTTGATCATGCACCATTTTCACCAATTAATAAACTACCTGAAGGGTTGAAGAAGGAATATTATGTTAACCTAAAGGAATACATTTGTTTTAAATATGTATTACTCCAAAACCAATCTGGTTGTACTAGTTATACACAGCTACCAAACCGTAAACAACAGCTGAGCTGCAGAATTATTTAACATATGACTGCATGCTCTTTCGATTCACTCGAAGAGCTCTGTTTTCAAATACCAATACTTAACACCCTCTATTGCTATATCACTGAACTCAATTTACTGACACTGCACGCTAGCATCCCTGCCGTGAGAAGAATAGTGTCAAGGACTTACACGGTGATAACATCTTACAACAGTTACCATTCTATAGCCTTCAGAGGAGAGGAAAGGGAGTAATATTCTGGCACGTGACCTTGACTCTTTTCTATTCCTGCAACAGCAAACCACTCTGGCTTATCTCCACTCTCTGAGGCTAGATGATTGGTTGAGATTTTAGCATAAGCTGTGAACCAAAAGACAGAAGCTTCCACCAAAACCAGGAAAAAAAAACCCCAAACAACTGTTTCCTAAGCAGATGATATTTGAGACCAGACAACATAAGATTTAAGGTTCTGTACAGAAAAGATGACTTTTTAAAAAATAACTTTTTTTACAAGTGACATTCAAGATAGTCTTAGCAATATTTCATTAGTTTTTCAGGTGATAATCAAGAATAACCTGTGGTTTACAAAAATACATCTGTCTCCAACACACAGGTGATTAAGTATAACAAACCACAGCACATTAGCAAACGCAGAGATTTCACAATGAAAAGCAAGCCTTTCCTTTATATTTCTTAGTATTTTTTATTCAGAAATTTCTAGAAATGAACGGCAAGCAACACAGAGATGGAAGGAATGTTTAGACAGGTTTTTGAATGTAACAATAAGTAGTTTGCATTTATCAGAAGAAACTTATGAAAGTAACGGACTCAAATTTGTTTGCAACATGGGGAGATCTACGTAATAGAAAACAAGAAATAAAAGTTTCAGCTAAAGTTCTTCACAGTTTATATTTCTTATATTACAAGAAAATAAATTCTCAGTAATTTCTAACACACAACTAAACATCATGTTCAACATTAAATTTGCTGCTGCTTACGAACAGGTACAGATTTACTATTACAATGCTCCAAGCCAGGTTTCCTATCACTTAGGAAATATGAATGATGGTCTAGATTAATTCTGGATTTACATCAGTTTTTAGAAAGAATAAGTTCAATTAAAAGTTAACTTTTTTTTAGTGCAAGTTTCATACAGTTCATTTAGAACTGACTTATGAAACTATAAACTATTGTCTGTTGATACAGATGATAGCTTGACTTGCCTGTCACAACCAGACAAATTTACTTTTAAGAAACTAAGACCTACACTTTTATACACCAAATTGACAAGTAGTTCATTAAAGCAGAACAGGTTTAATTTTGGGGTTAAGATTTTCAAAGATACATTTAAAATGCCCTACTTTCCTTGTATGACTTTATATGAGCTTGGAAATCACATAAGAGCTGAGCATTAACAGGTTGTTAAAAAAGCAGCATTATCACACAAATTACATTATGAATGTTACCTAACCCTAAAAACAAAGAAAAGGTTTTGGAACATGATTTTAATTTTATTCCTTAAGTGGGTCCAATCTGAAGCCAATGAAGTGACACCAGAGGAGCTAATCTGCCTTGTGGTTCACTTTCTGCTACGTTCACCTTAAGAATCCAGGTGTGGTTCCAAATTGCACTTTTCTGACCCTCGGTGTCCTAGGAATTTGACAAATCTTTTCTTCATATGATCAAAAAACAATTACATGGCCAAGTGAGAGGAATTCAAATATGGCAACAGTGTATATACATGCAGGTTTTCCACTGACCTGCGATCTATGAACTACACAGTTCTTCTTCACCCCAGGAAGGACACACTGGAGGCCCTATGCTCTAATCCCTCCCCTGCTGTATGGCTGGATATACATTTACGAGACACTCCCCACCTGAAAGTGTGTCAATGACAAACTAACGAGACTCCAGTAATTAAAGTTCCAACAACTAAAATTTGCACAGCATCTCAAGCAGTAACTAAACCATCAATATGACACCAATATTTTTCAGCACAAACCCAAAACATAGCCCCATACAGGCTACTAGGAAGAATTTAACTCCATGCCCACCAAACCCAGTGCATTCTCCACCCCTCAGTGCATATCATTTATGTCACGCTCAGGTCCTGCACTATTGCGACACAGCCTCATTAACCACCCCTTCCCCCATAAGGCATCTCTAAAACGTACATAAACGTCCATAAGATGTTCACCAAGTTCATTTGGTCTTTGACTTCGGGCTCCACCTGTTACAGTATTCACTCAGTAGCAGAGAGGTAGAGAGTTGCATGGAGTTACTGGACACTGTTGATCTCACCTGCTTCTAGACATTGATCACGAGGAGGCACAACAACTCATAATTATACAGGGAGGTTGGGCTGGATGATCTCTAAGGTCCCTTCCAGCCTATGCCATTCTATGATTCTGTAGAACATGTGATAGTCACATACTTTGAAAGCAAGGAAACTCACAAGAAGCATCCAAATACATTAAGAAAGTCACGCTGTCAGGTTTTTTGAGTTTAATATTTCAAGATTTTGACAATGCCAATACTCTTCTGGGATTTTCAAAGCCAAACAGCAGTCATTTGCAAATACTAGAAAGTGTAAATTTCAAAAATTAAAAGCTAGCTCTAAAAAGCATGAAAAATGGTAATCAAGTATATTGCTCTAGGATGTTGTATAATCCTATTTCCCTTAAGTATATGGGTGGATGATCACGATACATTTACCTACGCATAAAAGAGGAACTCTAGGTGTGTCCTCACCCTCTAAATCTCTCTGCTCATGCTCCGAGAGCTGTCTCAGTGTTTCCTCTCCCATTTGTGGCATGCCTGAACTAGCACAGCTTTCTGTTCATGCCACTATTCCTCTCCCACCCCACTCCACAGGGCTCCAGATCCCCTATATTTCCCCCTCACCTTCTTTCCTCCTTTCCGCCCTGCCAGACACTTATACAAACAACATGCTCTTTAGATACTAACTTCACTGTCATCCCAGACAGCTGCGCGTGTACATGCATAGTGGAAGACCACTTCTAGTGACCAGAACAAATAATTTTTTCCAAGTGACCTCTTGATCATTCGCTTGACATAAGCCTCTTGTAAATTTTAGGCAACATTTATTTACTCTCAGGTGAGCACTTCCTTCTCCCCTAGTCTTAGCACCTTCCCAACAGCTGAAATATTTTCACCATTATAAAGGCACACAGGAATCTTCTTCCAGTTAGTCATGATTACCCCTTTGTTTGCTGCCTGACAAAGTCCTCCACAAACACACTTGGAAGATGGACCGCTAAATTTGTGTCATATTGTCACTTTCTTTTATACTATGATCAAAGGACAAGTTAAATTACTGTAAAATGAGAATGATTTTTTTAAGAAAACTTAAAAGCAACAAAATGAAATCTTAAAGCAGAATCCTACTGAGACAACTTTATTATTCTTGATTGCTGCTATTCAGCTGATACCGTTAGAAACATATAAAAACCCCACTGTTTAAAGAAGAAGCAGTTAAAACTTTTGACTGATATTATTTCAGTTAAGGATTTATCTGTCAAACAACTGAAGTAGTCAGCTGCTTAAAAAAATTCCTGTCTCATATTTGAAAACTCTTCAAAAGGAAGAGGAATACTAGCTGATAAGCCAAAACACATGAGTCATTTCTAAGCCTTTGTCAACACTTTTCTAAGAAACTCCTCTCCCCTTCCTCCGTGAATTTGAAAGCCTCCCCTTTTCCCATCTTTACAGTTAAGATTTTTTTAGCCACAGACAAGAAGGGCTGGCCAATTTCTAGGGGGAAAAAAAAGAAACCCTAAAATGCATTACTGGAATTACAGTGGTACTATCAATTAAAGTTTCAGGTCATTATTTTTTAATGATTTAACTCCACAAGTCACTGTCCAGCATTTTTTCCACATATAAACACATATATGTGCACGGTCAATATTTTCTACTATCTCCCACTCTGCTACACAAACTCTTCACCTTGCCACTCCCTCTTTGTGAAGAATCCACGAAATAAATACAATTCATTTGCTAATGGTAACAGAGAGACATTGCTGCTTCATGGTGGTTCCTTGTTTTGGCTTTTGTGTTTGTTTTTTTTTCAAATCAGTTGCTGCAAATCCTGTGTCCATGATTACTACGTGACTCTTCTCATTGTTCTTATCTCTTAGGCCGCAAAACAAACAGAAAGCTGATAAGACTTTGGAGCTTTTCCCATTACAGAAAGTTTCGAGATACCACATATTTATTTCCAGGCAATATTATTACTTGTTTCCCAAATGTTCGTTACAAAAATATGTTTCATATATTCTACAGAGGTTTTGCCTTGCAGAGAAGTTTCTTTGAGAAAAAACATAAGGTTAATCAGTCAACCCATAATATCACACCACAGCCCGATGCACAAAGAAACTATCAGTAATTGTTTCTATGAATACCATGAATTTTATTTACCTCTACACTGAATAAAAGGCAGTGCTAAACAAACTCATCAGCTTTGTGAGCTTAAGTAGCAGATCCTATTCTGCCCAAATTAGGAACCACCAACCCATTTTACACAGCTTTTCCATCACTGCACTCATGGTCTCATCTGGATTTGTGGGTAAAAACCAGTCTGTTACTGCCCATTGCCGCATGTTCACTCTCCACTCTACAGTATCGAAAATAGGTGTTCTCTGGTAATGAGACACAACAATTTATTACCACCACTGAAAAGGAAAAGTGAACAGTAAGATGAACAAAACTTCAAAGTAAG